CCTGTGTTGGATACCCACACCTGCAGCAAGCCTTCCAGCGTCTGTGCTGGAATGATGCAAGACAGGATGGTAGACGAAATGAAAGACAGTCCAAAACAAGCGCGGTCGCCTACCCGCACATGAGCATCCTCATCAAATGACTCTCCCAGTATGGTCAAAACAGCGGTGGACCCGCTGAAGATTTGTGTAGGGAGAACCGAGAGTAGCACGGCTTCAGGAATGTACTGGAAAGGCACCCCACTAATATCATCCGTATATGAATCATCCCAACCCAGCGAGAGGTTAGCAAGTCCTTTCCGGTTCGCTGGCGATGAGCAATAATACTGATCAAATGCGTATTGAAGTTTTTCCAATGCAGAATCAAATTTGCAGTATCGAGTTTTGAAGGATCCTGTAACATTGACAAATCTGAAAAATACTTTGGTTCCACCCCGCACGGATCCTTTGGTTGGTCCAAGAAAAACTGCTGTATTTGACATCTCGTTTTGAGCAAAGGGATCATACAAAAAGTCTGACTTCGAATCGGGTTTTGCTGAAAACCTAAATGAAATTCCTTTCACAAGATGCGAATGATACCAGAATGTGATTTTGCAAGGAATGGTGTGATTAGTAAAATTTGCGTCAACACAACCTGAAGTGTAATCTGATTGATATTGAATGGAACTGAGGAAATCTACGATCAATGTTGTCGAATTCAAAATCGAATAAGAAAGAGGATGTCTGTGGAAGTATACCCGCATGTGACTGTCAAATCGAAGGCCGTGGACCGTCACTGAGGTATTTGAATTCATTGCACCATACGTGGGCCAGATGCTTGTTACCGATACAGGAAGTAATAGCTCTAGTGTATGCTTTGTGCGAAAGAAGGCTTCAGTTCCAGCCTTCAATCCTATAGTGTAATTTCCACAAGGCAAACCTTCTACTCGACATAAAATTTCAGACCTCGTCAGTACCTCTCCCCTCGATACAAAGTTTCCAACAATGCAATCAAGTTCTTCATCAAGTCGGAATGTGCCCCCTATGACTCGAAAGGTTTTCAACTGTTCGCGTAACCCCCTACTTGGTACGATGCGATCTACATTCCATCCCTCCAAACTTATGTAATGAAAGTCGCTCGTCCTCCACGTTTCCTGTTCCATGTAGAGGGAATAGCTTCCAGGACTGAGGGCTGGTATGATACAGCCCATTGCAGTCGAAGACAAAATCATCAACGGCGTTGCAATCTTAGTATTTCTTACTCGGCATCTTGCGTTGTCGAGTAGATTGGAGAATTGCCCGCTGAAAGTTATCCTGACTTGCGTACTGTGCAAACCGGATGTTGGTCTGATACTGCTTACTTGAATTGTCCAGTCCCGGTAGTACAGGAAAGGAAGAGACGCATACAAGCTCTCTCCCATGTACAGATCTAAAAATGTACCTCCAGAGGACTGTGCAGGAGGTGTAATACACCGCATTATCATACTGTCCAAGTGCGTACACTTGGCAGTGGTAGATCCAAACTTACAAGTATTCGACAGTTCTGTGAGTCCAATGCCAGTAATGTTTACAGCCTGTCCACCTCCCAATCTACTGTAGCTCGGTACAACCCGCCTGACCGCACTCAAGTTTTCTACGTGGAGCATCCCGGAGAAGGAGAACGAATCCATCCCCTCTGATCG